TTGCATAAAACTCTCTCTTATACGTGAGTTGCTGTGGATTTGTTTCTCCAAAGTACCTAGACTAATACAGTTAATATTCATTTTTATCAATGCAATCCTTTAAGAAAACTCTATTTTCAAAATAGACCATGGCTGCAGTTGAATGATTTTGAATACGTTTTTTAAACAAAGTACCTGCATTAATAAATGGGATTCCATCGTATGGGACATACTGGGATTTCCACATCAAGCGTGAAGCAGGCTTGGCTGGGCTTGGAGATTGGCGGGTCCCCCAAACACTCTGTGTTTGCTGCTTATGAAATGTGAGGACACTTTCTAATTCAGTCTCACTAATACAATAGCCACGGTATGAATCTCCAATTTTCTGCATGTGATAGAAGTTAAATAATAAATGATTAGCAAATATGACAGCTGTTTCCTTGTATAATAAATTTAATGAGATGAAAAAAAAATTTAATGAGATGCTTGCCCAAAGTAAAGACTCATTAGCTTTTACAAGAGAATGTCATTGCTTCCCTCTGATACTGGTCCATTACAACCATAGAGTCTAATTCAATCAACATAATCAAGTAACGGTTCTCCAGGTATTTGCTAGAGAATATAAGGCCAAACTCACTGCTACATTATCTTTATTAAAGACTGCTTTGAGGGGAAAAAATACTTAAGTAGGATAGTTTGAAAACATAAGAGTGTATTCTTCCCTCTAGATATTTAAAATTCTATCCTGTATTACACCAAACCAGCACACCATTAACTAGAAAAGTAGTGGTTCTCTATGGGACTTATTTTACTGAATTATTTTGATAAACTGTCATAAACCTATCTGAGAAGCTAGAAAAATTATGATTAAATCACCTATAAAGATGTTGAAGTTGATAGTTATATCAATATACCTCCTTTTTGACAGAGATTACGTCTGGCTTTAGGTACAAGAACAGCTATTGGTTTTAGTATTACTTTATGAAATTTATAAAAGTTTAGCTAATATTCAGAATTTTTTAACTACATATGTTTCATCTTGAAATGTAGCTCTGTAGATTATAGAAAATTGGTGTGTATATATACACACATACACACATATATGTATAGAGCATTAAGATTGTCTTACTTCCATTTTATGGTCCCATTCTTGTTTTTCTTTATTCTTTAGCTCCCACTTTTAATTACCACCTTGCTAATATATCTTATGTATCTTTGTAAGCTGTCTTAAATTCTTTCTGAAACAAGTATAAATAAATCATATAAATCAGTTGCTATCATCCACAAAGCACTATTTGAGTATCCCTGTATAAGAGAGAGAACATCTTAATTGTGATCTTATAATGCTATTACACATACACCTAGGATTGGCTTCATGTATTTTTCTCCCTTAGAAAGAGTATGATCAGAGATGTGGAAATAACAGACCTCACTAAGCTAAATATTTTACTTGACAAGAACACATTCCACAAAAGGGAATGTATCATGATGTAAATAAATACATAATACTGGCAATAAATGAAAAAATCAGAATAAGGTACAATATAATTATCTGTAGCTGAAGGTTTAGTACAGTATTTCAGGGTAATTTGGGGGTGGGAGTGGGGTGCTGATGCTGGTGGCTCAATAAATTGTTTAAGTTGTTGAGTTCAAAATAATAATCTGAAATGTAAACTCCTCCCTAATTCACAATAAAGTTTTTTAAAAGTTTAATACATTTTGAAATTGGTCCCATTAAGATAAATTTAAATAATGACGATAGAAAAAAGATCATTAAACAGAAATCCAAGAGGCAAAAGCTATCACTAAACAATATTTTGAAACAAAGTACACAAAAATTTTCTGTAGTCATTAACTGAAAATAGTTTTCATTACTTATACAGCTTGACAGAGGAGAGTGAATTCTTCACTGGGAGAGATTACTCAGTCTACAGTTTCTAAGAAGATGTGTGACTTTAGGCAAAGTTATTATCATGCACCACACCTGTAAAATAAGGTGATTTGACAACCTGATTGCTAAGGTCCACAGCATTCTGTAACACTTGTAATGATTTTTTTTTAAAACCTCATCAATTAGTCACAATTATTAAATTCTAAGAAGACACTGAAAAACTATAATTGTTCCTCTCTCTTTCTCAACCATCATGTTTGTGTGTAGTCAACTTTAATCTTTACCATGTCTTCTCACAAGACTTCCAGGATTAAGAGATTCTGGCCAAGAAACAAAAGCAGAAGTGTTCCATCCCTAGTGGGTTCAAATGAAGACTGGTAATAAAATCAGGTACAAGCAGCCCCCTTCACAAACACTGTCTGTTCCTATGTCTGTCTCTGTCTTTTAAGTTGAATTTGTATGTTAGTTAGAACTGGAACACTTAAATAATCAATGATCAATAGAAATAATCAATAGACTATTTATAGACACCTAGGACTTGCTTTGAGATTCGAAGAATAGTCAGAAGCAAACATGAATTAGGAATTGTAGGTGAAGGCAGAACTGGGAAAAAGTCTGGAATGCTTGCAGAAAGCAGGATGGAGAGACCAACAAGAACGAACGCTTCATTAGAGAAAAGCAGGGAATAGAATAGGTAAAATAAGGGAAGTCGATCACGGAAGGTCTTGAAACCCAGCTAGGCTAAAGGATATGACAGAAATAACTCTGATCTTTTTGGGATGCAAAAAAGCGAATTGTGGTGAAGTGAAATTACTTATGGCTCTTCTTTCCACATCGTCAGTAACTTCCACCAAATTATTGGGTGGAACCATGAAATTATAGGGTGACTAAAAAAGGATTTTGGTCAATCTTGCCATTCTATTGGATAAGAGTGAGCCAACTCAGAAGCAAAAAGAGAGAAAATTCTATGGCCATCAAGAAAGAAGAGCTCTGAGATGAGTGTGTGGGATGTTTACCTGCAATGGAGGAGGCACCAAACGCCTGGGAATTAAGACCATGAGATTGTGAGACAGAGCAGAGGAGCAGCGCATAGGCTTTGTGGCCCACGGATACAGCCCAAGGTACCCGACTAGAGAAATACTCCTGTCTGCATGCTGAGAAGAAGCACTGCAGACAACTGAACAGTATCCTCGCCATTTTGTTAAATCCCCATATTCGTGAGGATTGTCAGTGAGTTCTGTGTAAGAATTAACCAGAATTGGAGTGGAAGGGATAGCTGGTAAGGTAAGAAGGATGGAGGATACAGCATGCCTGACTTCTGCCTTGTGGAAATTGGCTGGTATGGAGTTGGATTCTCCCTCTCTCTATTGAAGATAAAGGAGATCAGAGGCAGCCCCCCACACCATTTTTTCAACAATGCGATTGATGCTTAAAGACAAGTAGTTATAGAAAAGTACAGAGTCAAAGAGATCACGTTACTTACTATAATCTAGCTAAAGATAACAAAGGTCTGTGGGAGAAGGGGCAAAACCAAAAATTAACCTTCAAAGGAAAATCTAAAAGAGTCAGGAATTTGGAAAAGGAAAATTTTGGTTTAAAGCTTTGTGCTTCAATGTCAAAGGAATGGTACTTGTCATTACATTATGAATTTAGAAGCAGAGATAGTATAGAATGGAAGATGATTTCTGTTTGGGACATAGTGCACTTGGGGTAAATGGAAGTAGAATTCCAAGTTAGTAACTGGAGATTTGGGGCAGGAGTAGAGGCAGAATTAAAGAAATGACTATATAAATCTGAAAATAATTTTTATAGAATGAGAGCTGAAAGACAACAGAGGAGATACTCTCCAAAGGGTCAAAACCTCTTACCGCCAGAGTCAGTTCTGACTCCTAGTGACCCTGTAATACAGAGTAGAACTACTGCTGTGTTTTTTTGAGACCCTAGCTCTTTACAGGAGTAGAAGATGTCACTTTTTTCCCACGGAGCAGCTGGCCCTGTAGTTAGCAGCTCAGTGCGTAACCCACCGTGCCAACAGGGCTCCAAAGGACAAAACACAGAAAATAAAATAGGGTCAAACAATGAATCGTCAAAGAATTTCTACCAAGAATTTGAGAAGAAATAAATGCAAGTGAAGAAATAAATGCAAGTAAAGAAAGAGAAGAAATGTTTAAAAAGAAAAAATGAGAGAAACATGACAGCGAGGTTTCATGGAATAATGCTGAAGTGTATTTTTAGGGATTGATATGACTTGTGCTTTAATAGAGCTTACAATTTATAAGCTATAAAAAATAGATGAGATCGCATTTAATGAAAAGACAAAATATTACATATATAGCCTAAACTGGTTGTACTGAAAAGTGGGTATTTTCAGATGAAGTATGATCACAATAGGTTAAGTGCTAGGTAAGGATTATTTTTAACTTACCTCACAGCCCCTAAGACGGCAGGCCCATATAGGTGTGTTAGAAGAAAGTGGCTGGAGATGAGCCAGAAAAGGTTCTTGAAGTATTCTGGGCAAAGGGAGGAATATATGTAAGAACATATTACAAGTACTGAACTTACGCACACATAGAAAAGCACTAAGCAACTTTTCCTCTCAGCCAGTGTCAAAGATACTGTGGCCCGTAATTAAAAACAACAACAATAAAATAATTACAGATTGATCTAAAGTTTGACGTATTTATTATCAATTTCTTTGCTCACTATTATTTTATCAGTCGCTAAGGCCTGAATTCATTCTTCTAAGTACCTGTGATCTCAATAAATGCAAGTATTTCTCCTTCTCAAAGCTTATTTTGTACTCTTATCATTATAAAATTACTTTCTAGTTATCAAAAATGAGTTAATATAGCATCTTTAGTTGACCTTTAAAGGTAACATAGTATTTGTGCTGGAAATCATGGACAGAGCTATTAGACAACAAAAAGAAATCAAAGGCACCCAAATTGGCAAAAAGGAAATAACACTCTATTTG